GAGTATCGCCATTCTTAGCACCACACAACAACTCGTCAAAGAGACAAGTCTGGGAATGTACCACGTCCACAGTTCAACTTTGGAAATGATCATGCATACAATGGACTCCGGATTAGGTGCGTTCCTCTAAGTCTTCCTACCAATAAGGAAATGATCATGCATACAATGGACTCCGGACTAGGTGCGTTCCTCTAAGTCTTCCTACCAATTTGACCATGTTGCCAAGGTCAAACAACTTCTATTCAACGAAAGGAGACTGCGACCACACAAAAGGCCACACCATCTTGGTCTTTATTAACAACTTCTATTCAACGAAAGGAGACTGCGACCACACAAAAGGCCACACCATCTTGGTCTTTATACCTTAGATGCCTTTACTTTTATTTGTGTCAAGCTTTGTATTAAACCTATTTCCCATGGAAGCTATGCAAACACACACTATTACTCACAAACATACACACACCCACACAAAAAACAAACACTTTCAAACAAATACATATGCCAGATAGCGATGAAGACTCGAATCAGGTGCGTTTCTTTAAGTCTTCCTGTCAATATGACCGAGTTGCGAAAACAAGGTCAAACAACTTTTATTATAAATGATTTCATAATTAGTACTTTGGCCCCATATGTATGACGGGAAAAGTATTTAACAAAGAAAGTTGCCTATGTGGGCTTCATACAAGCATTATTTGCCTAATTATTACCTTTTTTGCTCACTAGTACGCATATAAATGCTAACCTAGCCCAAACAAGTAAACAGCTATCATATTTAAGGGTTGGCCCACAAGCGAATAAAGAGCAGGACCATCATAGACTTGGCATTATGGTTAGAAGCCAATTGGACCAGTACTAAACAGAGGAGGGGCGGGAGAGACAAGAGACAGTCAGTTCACAGTACGCATAGTTCATCAGCGGCGTAGTCGCTGAAGAAACGACCCGACGACACATACCAAATTGAGATAAGAGGAGCCACATTATTGGGCCAGTCCGACATAGAGCTTGAGAATCCAAGCATTGGGCCCTGACAGTGTAAGTGTTACCAAACGTTTGAGGCAAACCAATGGAAATATGGCCTAGAGTAGCACAGATATGGTGACAGTGATTGAGGGAATTCCCTGAACTGAAGTCATCGATATCCTGACTGAAATAAATCTCATGAACAGCAGACTTAAAGAAGGT